CTTCTTTAAGTTCCATCTTCTATCGAAAGTTGGAAATCATCATGGCTATGCGGACTCTGTTGACTGCCGCTCTAAAAAGTTCTGCACTACTGCATTCAAACCATTCCCTTAAGTTCTTAAGCCAGGATATTCTTTGTCTTCCCACATTTCGCTTTTCTCGGATTTTGCCCTGCATAATAAGTTGTAATAATGCGTATTTTTGCCCTCTCATCACATGTCAAAAGTACTCAAGTTTTCGTCTTTTAATAGTTAATATTATTTCCGCCTCATTTCCTATTCTTCTATCCTATCATATCTATCCCTTCTATTCCTATCCTTCTATCCTATCCTAAATATATATATATATATATATATATATATATATATATATATATATATATATAAAAAGAAGTACTTGTGACTCGTTTGGAAAAAATATAACACTGTTTTTGATGGGTTGGAGTCAATAAAAGGGGCTATTTGTTGACTATTTTTTACTCGAGCTTTCAATTGTGATTACAATTTTATCAAGAGCTTCTAAAAAATACAAAATGTCTTACAAGTTGAACTAGAAATAAAAAAATTTTTTTATTTCTAGTTCAACTTTACTATTTTGAGTTAACAAAAAAATTTTTTATTTCTAGTTCAACTTTGTAAGACATTTTGTATTTTTTAGAAGCTCTTGATAAAAAATTGTAATCACAATTGAAAGCTCGAGTAAAAAATAGTCAACAAATAGCCCCTTTTATTGACTCCAACCCATCAAAAACAGTGTTATATAATATATATATAAATATATATATATATATATATAATATATATTTATATATATATATATATATATATATATATATATAGAGTAAGAAAAAAGAAGTACTTGTGACTCGTTTGAAAAAAATATAAAACTGTTTTGGAAGGGTTGGAGTCAATAAAAGGGGCTATTTGTTGACTATTTTTTACTCGAGCTTTCAATTGTAATTACAATTATTATCAAGAGCTTCTTCTAAAAAATACAAAATATCTTACAAAGTTGAACTAGAAATTAAAATTTTTTTTTGTTAACTCACCAGATAAAATTAGTTTGTTATATAAAACTGCTGCTTACATATTAATGACAAAAAATATTAATAAAAAAATGTCTTATTCTATGTTTCTCTGAAAAATTTTGATGAAGTTTCTTAACAAAAAACAATTGAATTTGTAAACAAAAATTGAATAGCTACAAATTTTATATATATATAAATATATATATATATATAATATATATATTATATATATATATATATTATATATATATAATATAAATAAATCAAATTTTTTTCACGATTAGACTAGATACAAATGTCTATAGGGGGAAAGTGAAAAACGAAATACCTTTCTAAATGAAATAAATTGTACCAGCTAGCAGTCTGTTACACACTCGGTAGGGTCAAAATAGGAAAAGTCACTTTCGGTTAAAATCACACTGGGTTAAGGTCAAATATCGTAACTTCGAAGAATATTTACGTTGGAAGGGTCTTCACTACTTCAAACACATTATAACTTAAATGAAAACTCAGAGTATCGAGTACTAAGGTACGTATACAAAAGAAAAAAGGCCTCTTGTGATTGACTTATGAACAAGTGCATTGACAGTAAAATCACAAGCCTAGTTCAAATTAATGGGCAACACTTAAAAGAAATGAGGATCTGTAGAGGAGTTAGACAGGGATGTGTTTTATCACCACTTTTGTTTAACTTGTATTCTGAAGAAATTTTCCAAAACATGCTCAATAATACCGAAGCGGGAGTCACTGTTAACGGAATATTGATTAACAACTTAAGATATATGCAGACGACACTGAGTATACTTGAGTATGAATAGTGCTGAGATGGGAATTACTATAAACACTAAAAAAACGAAGTACATGCTAATTACAAAAGACCACAAAATATACATCACCTATTGACAATCAATGGTAATGTGATAGAACAATTAGAAACATATCAGTACTTGGGAACTTTGATCAATGAAACCAATGATCATACTGTAGAAATAAACAGGCGAATGGAGATTGCCAGATCAGCGTTTATACGAATGAAACCACTCCTAAGCAAAAATCTAAATTTGGAGATTAGACGTACCATTCGCTGTATAATTTCAATATATATGGAGCTGAACTTGACATAAAAAATTAATTTAAAAAGAGTCGAGGCCTTCGAACTTTGGTTATACCGTAGAGTATTGAAAATATCATCGACTGATAGAATTACAAATAAAGAAGTACTGGAGAGGGTTGTTAAAGAAACAGAATAAAATCACCACTATACAAACCAGAAAACTGGAATACCTAGGCCACGTAATGAGGGGACCAAAATATGAAATTTTGAGACTCATAATACAGGGAAAGATTCAAGGAAGAAGATCTGTTGGCCGAAGGTAGAACTCATGATTAAAGAATCTACGTGATTGGTAATAATGCAGATCGATTGATTTGTTTAGAGCAGCTAGTTCTAAAATAAAAATGGCCCTTATGATTGCCAACCTCCGTAGGGAGACGGCACTCTAAGAAGAAGTGGTCGACAGGACTATTCCCAATATACACCAAGACTATACCCTCTATACACGGGACCTAAAGACATCCATCATTCCGGCAAGTTAACTGACGAGGTTTTAAAATCGTTGCCCTTAGCCTTCCTTCGTGCCCCGTATCTGCACTAGGGAGTCGTTGTTTTATTTGCATTTTTACACAAGTGAAACTGGTATTATATAACATGAGGATCCTTAAATTTAAGGAAAACTAATATCATAGCACTGTATATTTATAATCGTCGATACTCTACTCAAAACTAAACAAAAATATCTATACAGATTGGATGTTTGAAATGTATCAGTAAAGAGGTAATATATAAGATACAACAGATACACCTAATATCATATTCATATTAGTGTATTAAATACATAATCATGTTAGTGCTCTCACTGTTCATGAACCAAAAACTGATTTGCGCCTCCTAGACCTAACTATAGAGATATGACAACTCTCCCATATTATAACATACCTAAACATTACCAAAAAAATATAAGTGAACTTTCATTATGAAAACAAATATATCACAATAGACGGCTCCAGGGTATTTCACCTGAAACTTATATCAAATCGAATATTACGATAGATGTCTACAGAGTGTTTCATCTGAGATGTATATCAGATCCTAAAATACATACATTATGATAGACGGCTACAGGGTAATTCAGCACATAAACTCTAAAACGGATTTCACCATGCGCTAATGTAAACCTTTCAATTGCCAATATTATTGTGCATTATTATACAAATTAAAGCAGGAAGTCAGTGAGAAATAGTCCCACTTGCAGAGGCAAAAAGTGTTGTCTCTCCAAGACAATGCACCCTCTCACATGAGCATTATAACAATGACAAAATTTTATGAATTGGGCTTTAAATTGTTTTTCCATATAGCTTATTATTCTGATTTGGTAGCTTCCAAATACTATATTTTACAAAACCCAAATTTAAAGAGATAGCTCGCAAATAAAAAATTTAGTCCGAATTCAACGAACAGATTATTGACAAAACAAAAATTCTGCAGAGCCGTATTATTTTGACGACATAAAGAAGTTGGAAAATCGCTGGAATCGTTTTATTGAGCTAAAAGGAGACTACATATATCGTATAAAATAAAAAAAATCTGGAAAAAAATTATTTTCATTTCAAAGGAGGTTACTTACCAGACTACCTAGTAGATTCATCTTAAGTAACCCTCCTTTGATACAACTCTTGCATTTCTCGATTTACAGTCAAAGGATTATATCGAGCGGGTCAAAACAATAACCATTATGTGAAAAAAATTGTTATTTTGGTTTGATATACGTATTCAAAGAGATTTTTTACTAGTCCGTTTGGGAGTCCCATTTATATCTGTAAATTGCATTTCATCAATATATAAATAACCTTCTAAAGCGCCTTTCTTGGAAATATCGTCTAGGGACGAATTGGGTCATCATTGTGGAAACGTTTTTGATTTAATATATAGTTTAACTCAATATACATTCTTTTATTATCAGAAAAATTATCCTTTACATTCAGAATGGGAGACATATTAATTTAGGACACTAAAGCTTTTGCGGCTAGGTTCAATTGAGTAGTGTGATATTTCTTTAATTAGGCGGATAGCTAAAAACTAACTAACAAGTGTATATCTATAAGTATCTGGGTCACGAGATTAAATTAGAAAGAGACTATAAATATCAGAGATAAATAAAAGACTATGTGACCATGTGATAACATGGGCAGCTCAGGGAAAACTTTAGACCAGGAAAGCAGGAAGGAAGATCGAAAGTCTTTAGATCAGATATTCCTATGTGCTTCAAAAGGGAGGACCAGTGGGCACTCTCAGTTCTAACATATGGAGCAGAAGTATTGATTCTTACCAAAAAAGTAATGAATAAAATACAAGTGGCACAGAGAATATATTCCTCAGAGGCAGAGTTTCAAATCGAATAGTTAGTAGGTGTAACGGACGCCATGTTACCAGAGTCAAAAATAGAAGATGGACCAAGAAAATTTTAGAATGTAATGGAATTATTACCGGGATCCCTATGTTCAGCACTGGACTCAAACCAGCTAATTATGCTAAACGCGTAAGATTTTAGTACATTTTTTAGTTCATCACAATTTGATTTTTTCCATAAAACATTTTGTAAATGGAGGTGCTTTAACAACATTTAAATTTCTTGAATTATTTAAGATTAGTTACCAAGTATAATAAGAAATAGTTTTCTTGCGTCACGTCAGCAAGATTTTCGTAAAATCAAAAGCTAACTTAAATGATGAAATCAGATATTACATCATTTTTTGTAAAATTCTCAATGACATTTTAAATGAATATGAGTTACCCGGATTATTTTTAGAAACTAGTATTTCCCGCAAAAATCATCTTATCTATTGCTTAAACTTAATTAAAGTGAATTATTCTATTGTATAGAAAAGACTCTCGTGATATTTATTAAATACGTTTAATTAATAATCTTTAATCTCACCTTTTTTGTTTTGTCGTCTTAAAGTTGAAGGAGCCCTGATAATGGTTGGCTTCACTACGTAAGTAATACTCCGTTTGTGACTTAATCCTGTTTTTTTCTGTCTGACTGGTTTTCTTTTTGGTACTGGTGAAACTCCTAGAGGTACATAGGGATTGTCACTTTTAGAGCTATCACTGACCAAAAGACTAATTGTCGATTTATCAGATACTGGAGATCCACAAGCAAAATTTTCGTATTCATCGTTAGTCAAAGTTAAACGGGATATATTGCAGCTTAATTCGTCTGATAAATATTCATAGTCACCCGTAAGGCTTTCGTATAACCCCTCATCAGTACTATAAGTACTTCGACTGACGTAAATGGAATTATCTAAAGGTGTCCAGTTCCGTATTTCACTGATACCATATTTAAATGATGACTTCCTATATATGCAACTTTTTCTTTTTTCCGGAGGAACGAAAATCATCGGATCCAATTTTAAAGAACGTAAAGATTTGGAAGGTCTACTAACCATTACTTGGTATAAATCACTTCTTACCGAACCACCCTCTTTAACACTTTTTTTCTTTTTGTTTTTCTTTTTACCACTATGTTTTCTTGTCACTGAATTTCGTTTTGTATCTACTACTAAAGCACCACTTGTTCGTTTAAAGTAGCCATCCCTACTGACAGATAATTTTGGCTTCGGCCTCTTTTTTCTAAAAAGTCCCCGTGATGGCGGCGAAGCAAAGTTTGAGTGAAAATCATTTAATTTGGGAGCCGATATCGAGAATGAAAACCCAGAGTCCTTACTAGAAAATAAGCCTGTTGAAGCAGTTGTATTACTCGTTGATGATAATGTTCTTCCTACTGGCGGGGTAGGTTTTTTCTGTAATCTATTAATCAGAATGGGATCATCTCTTAAGTCCTTAAGAGCACTATCTAGCGAATGATGAGCTGGAGCAGGAGGGCCTGTAGACTTTGGTAATTCTAAACTTCTTGGAGCCATGCCAGTGGGAGCATCTATCCATATTCGCCCTAAACTTATTGATAATGAACACATTTCTTCAGCACCAGAATCAGGCAAAAGAGGTAAAGGAGATTGTCTGGATCTTTTTCTAACTAAAGGCGATTTTTTTAATTCCGTACTATCCCCCCAAGGAAACATCTCCACTGCAGAATCATTGCTCTCTTTTCTTTGCAAACTGGGACTTCTTTGTTTGGATTTCCTTTTTTGGATTGATGATTTTTTTATCAAAACAGGTGATGAAGATAATTGTCGAATGACAGGAGGAGGAGCAATTTCATCAGAAGCAGGTACGTATATTATGGTTCTTTCTGAACCTTTAATACCCGTAGAATTTGAAGATTCAGTTTTTCTGATCCCTCTCAGCCATTGTCCATAAGCGATAACGCTTTGACCTGGCCCGCTCTTACTTTGTTCTAATTTGTACTTATTATTGCACTTTATTTCGTTCTTGATAGTTAAATCACTAGTGGCCACGGCTACATCTCTTTTTTCAACTTGCACAGAACCTGGAGTCTCTTTCGCAGTTTCCAAAATGTCTTCTTCTTCGGTAACAGTTTGCGTTGAAACTTCTAACTTGGATATTTGTTTCTTTTTTCCGCGATCTAAATAACTTCTACGAATTGATATTCTTTTAAAAGATTCACTTCGTTTGAAAGATGATTCTTTTTCTTTCTTTTTACGACCTCCGCCGACAAGTCGACGAAGGTTTTCGAATGTTATCGGCTTCATAACACTCTAAGAACTAGGTATCGAGTTGCATTTGTTGCCTCACACCTCTTCTCCAGACTGCCATTGCCAATTTCTGCTCTGTCCTTTGCTTGATCATAACGGTCGTGGTACTGTTGGATCTAGTGGGTACCTAAGAAATACCTGTAATTAGTTTTATAATTAAAAATGTATAACCCTGAGGATCGCTTCCTGTACAAGTTGTAACAATATTGACACGAAGCTGTTTTTGTTTGTATATTTTATTACGATAAGTATAAAACATATGATTTTCGTGAATAAATTACTCTAAACTCATATAATAATTTAGACGTCGTGGATTTAATGTTTAATAGGAAAGTAAAAAATATAAACACACAATTTATGTAAAGGTAAATTATACCTCTATGTATAATATGTTGCATACCATTAAGACAGGTTTAAAAAGTATAGTCACCTAAGAAGGGCCTCTAGTATTTCTTGAAAAGAAAGATAACATCAATTACACCTAATTACATATTAATTACAGTGTTTTTACTTTCTATTCTCTGTATGAGTTAATATATACCAGTAAAACATGCCATCAACCAAGTTTTACTATTTTTACAATAAATTTTAAAAATTTTATAATGTATTATGTCCATAATTGTATATTTTAATGTGTGGTATAAATGTTGAGTGTCAATGCTTACAAAAATAATCTCAACGACTAGTAAGTTACACTGAAGAATTGTGATATTTTTTAAATATTTACATAATTGTCTTTTACAGTGTCTGGAAAAAGGAATAAAACCATTCCGAAAGCTCTATATATATATACATTATATATATATATATATATATATATATATATATATATATATACCTTATATATATATATATATATATATATATATTATATATATATATATAAATAAATATATATATAAATATATACATATACATATATATATATATATATATATATATATATATATATATATATATAATATATACATATACATATGTATATATATATATATATATATATATATATAAATATATACATATACATATGTATATATATATATATATATATATATATATATTTGTTAACAGCTTAAAAAAGGACAAGGAAAGAGTTACCAAGCTTTCGCAAATCTTTACCATAAAAAAATTAGTAAATTAGTACAAAAAAATACAAAATACAAAAATACAAGATACAAAAAAAAAAATTAGTACAAATTACAGAATAAAAATTATTTTGTATATACTAATTGAGATTAGAAAATGGTGTTTAGAAAATGGTTAAAAGTATCCAAAAAATGGTCGTTTTAAAAATGTTTTTTCACAAAAAACTTTTACTGACTAACACTTACCTAAATAAATAATGTTATAAAATCATTAAAGAACATGTAGTAATATTATAAAAATTTTAGGTTATACATGTCATATTCTTATCAGAAACAAAACAATTGGTTGTGAATTAATAATTATTAACTTAAAACGACATAATGTTGAATTTTAGAATGATCAAAAGTCATAAAAAACTGTTTGTAGAGGACTAAATTCTAAATTAAAAACAAATGTTAAAACCGTTCTACGAATCAAATGTACTTCGAAATTTTGCAAAAATATAATAGATTTTTCAGACCACCCCTTAAAGTTAGGTCACACGTAATACAAGAATATATTATAACGTGTGTGTTTTATCATGTTGATGTCAGATGTTTGACAATTTGAATTGTCAATTGTTTTTATTTTATGATTAAATTATAAACAATGAATTTTACTAAACACTACTACTACTGAACAATATTACTTTGTGAACAATAAATTATATTGTTTACAAATCGATCAATATAATGAAATGTTTGACGATTCACCACCCTCTATTACATATATATTGAAATTTATATTATTGACGACGATATTGATTTTATTAGTAGATTTGTAGTTATTTAAAGTTAAAAATAATGAGTATAAGTTGTTCAAATTGTTGGTATCTATCTTTTTGTTAATGGTTATGACATCTCGAGAGGCAATCTTTTTGAATAATTACTCGCCATGGAAAGAATTTTTACATTCGGAAAATTGAAAGAGTGCCCTGTTGAGTTATCCTGTGTAGTTAGGGAACATTCATCAGGGTGTAACCTAACCAAGAATCAAACTGCTGGCAACTTTTTGGGAGGTGTGACCTATATAAGACGTATGTTCGATAATATATGCTATGACATATGTTATAAAATATTCTTGAAAATAATACACGGAAGACTTTACAATAAATCTAAAAGATATATATGATACCTTTTTTGAAATCAGAAGGAGACTAGGAACAAGAATAGCAGTTTTTATTGTAACGTGCTCGCACAAAAATCTCTAGATATATTTTTATTAATTACGTTTATTATAATTTATAAATAATACGGGAATCAGGGAGCAATTTTTTGGGATTGAAAACGTCAAAACGAAACATATACATGTTAAAAGAGAAGGTATATAGAAATTAGTATTGTCCCTATTGTTAGTCAACCTTTACAATGACGTCATTTAAAAAAAGCATTATCAGAGGAATAATATGGTACAGCAATAAACCGAAAAATCTTAAACAACATTAGATTCGCATATAATACCGTTATTTAACCTAATAATTTAGAATCACTACAAAACTTAGTAATAGATCATATTAATGCAGTATCTAACCAACATGGACTAAACATGAACGTAAAGAAAACAAAGTATATGATTATTATAGTGTGACATATGTTAGAGAGGCTAGCCATAGAAGAAAACTTAGTAGAAATTATTATACAAATATCTAGGAACCTGGTCAAATGAAAACAATCACCAAAATAGAGAAATAAGGATAGAATTGAAATTATGAAATAAACATTTGTAAAAATGAAGAACTAATTATTCGGTATTCACTAAATAGAAAACTATTCAATGATTGTGAACTTGCGGTGGAACGGAGAGTGGTACAGAACAATAATATATTATATATTGTGAGATCGACTTCTGAAGTGGAAGTCGAAACGTCAAAATAAACTTATTTTAAAGTAAATTGTAAATTTTTATATACACGAAGAAGTGATTTCAACCGAAAAATAATTTGTGAAGACTTTTTTTTAGTGAAATTTGATTTTTTTTATTCTAAGCAAGGTTGTATACAATATTATCAAAAGAATGCTATTTGTCTAAAGGAATTTTAAAAACTGAAAGAAACGTGCAGTATAATATTGATATATTAATATTTATCGTATTTACCAATATGATCTTATAAATGAATAGAATAATAAAAAATTATTAAGTTACAAAAATTAAACAAAGAATTGAATCAATCTACTTGATAACATTAAAGAGAAATCTTTGATTAGTAACATTTTCACTACCCATTCCATAACCGGCCTGATTCTCATTCTGTCTGCTAGTCGAGACAGTGTCGAGTTTTCCACGACTCGCAAGGTCAAACGTCTGGAAATTTCTTGTGAGAATGTAATTAAATTTTCCACAGTCCCTCGAGTCAGATAAATTAAAACCAATATCTGAAATATCGGTAACGCTTAAAATATAAGATTCCTTAAATTTGTATTTAGTTAGTATAACGTGCTTTGTATTTATAGAGTTAATAGACCTCAGTACGAAAATAATATCTAATTAGAATATAAATAAATAAAAGACTAAACTACCATTTCACACAAAATATCACCGACGGCACCTGTTTCGAAGTCGTGATGATAAGGAGGATAACTGCTATAAATAACATAAGATTTCGGCTACTTCATTTTACTCAGAAAATTACAGTCACATATAAAACATCTATATCATATGTACATCATATGTGTATCTATACAAGAAAGCATAACAATTTTTTTTTTATATTTATACCCAAACCTTCTAAGTCTCTTTATATTTAAACCCCAATTGTTCCATACTAATAATTCTGAAAGTAAATAATTGATCGTAAACTTGGAAATGTTTGTTATTTCTTATATTACGTGAGGTGTGGAGTACGTATTAACTTGGAAAATTTTTAAAAATGTATAAAAAAATATACAGAAATGTGATGAAATTGAAAAATATTAAAGAATAAAATTTAGTAGTATACCTATTTATACTACTAATATGTTTGTAAAATCATTAAAAAAATAATTTAGATTAGTCAGTTTCTTTTTATTTTAACTTTAAATGAAACACAAGAAAAATTATTTAAGAGATAATTATATCACGATGTAGAATGCTTCTTGCAGTATCTTCAATAGTCAATTGGATATTTGGATGTGCAGATTTAGTCATGATCATGCATTTAGTTTTCTTTAAATTTATCTTCAGTCTGTACTCATGACAGCGTTCATTAAGGCGTTGCATTACGTTCTGTAAATCATTGTTATTCTCCGTCATTATTACTGTATGGTCTGCAAAATGTAAGTTATTAAAAACTTCTCCATTGATAGATATACCTTCTATTGAGTCTGAGAGCGCTTCTTGAAATATTGCTTCACTGTAAACATTAAAAAGTAGTGGAGACAGTACGCAACCCTGGCGGACTTCTCTCTGACTGGCTGTCAACTCTAACCTTGGCAGTTTGATTCCAAGCTACAAGCTTTTTATGTTGAACCTTATTAAATGCTTTTTCAAAATCTAGAAAACATAAGTACATGTGAATTATTTTCAAAAATGTTTCAAATGTGTTATTCATTAAAGCAATTGTTCTGTGATCTGAGCAAGTTTTTGCACTAAGCTTTTTGGGAATTGCTACAAAGGTCGATTGCAGCCATTGTCTGGGGATTGTGGCAGTCTGATAGATTAGATTAAAGAGTTCAAACATTACATCAATAACATTTTCATCGATCATCATCAATCAGCCAATCGCGTCCACTGCTGGACATAGGCCTCCCTCAGTTCTTTCCAGTGTTCTCTACACTGGGACGCTTGTAGCCAGTTTCCCGCTACACGTTTAATGTCATCGGTCCATCTAGTCGGTGGTCGTCCTCGGCTTCTTTTATAATTTCTGGGCCTCCATTCCATAATACGTCTTATCCACC